GTCACAAGTTCAAGCGTTTCTAAAGGTACGGATTTTTGTGTACGCGTTATCATTCGGTCTTATTTACAAGACTGGAATTAGATAAATTGATAGCAGGTCACTGAGCGTGCTAACGCAATTGAAACAGGTTTGATTTACGTTGCGGTGACACTGGGTTTAAACCCTAGCAAAGAGGTCGATCTATCTCGACCTTTACTTTGTTTATCGTAACTTAAAAAAAGTTCACAACCAATCCCATTCACGGTTTCTTCAACCTTACTAATATTTTACAATCATGACTTTTCTCGTTTGGTCAATGCGATGTAAACAGTTAAATAAACCAAGAATTTATTAATATAATTATTTACCTTTGGGAGGCATTCAGATCGAGTCTCAAACTGGGCAGAAGGTATTTGTACTTATCTTTGGGATCTTTCTCGGAGATTGTAAGCAAAATTCGGCTATAGCTTCATTCTAAGTTCTTCTAAATTCATTGTGATACCGGCTTTCTCATATTAATCAACACAGCGATTGATACAGTGTCATAAAACTGCTAACCAACATAATAATTATTTCGTGAAGTGTCATAGAATGTCGAGGTTGAGTGGTTGGCACTCCTGTTTCATGTTCGGAAGGCACCGGGTTTTTAAAAAAAGTTCACAACCAATCCCATTGACGGTTTCTTCAACCTTACTAATATTCCACAATAATGACTTTTCTCGTTTCGGAAGGCACCGGGTTCGATTCTCAATCCTGAAGTCTGAAGTATTTCGTTGTTTTCCTCAGTAACTTCAGGCAAATGCTGGGATAGTACCATTTAAGACACCACTAACCCCTCATTCTACATCCACTCCAGTTCATCATTAAAATTCATCCACAGATTCTGAGCTACGAAGTTAAGATAATGTCGTTAAATAGACTAATAAAAGCTCTCTTTTATTGCCTGAGTAAGATAAAAACAACAACATATTAATGTGACGAAACTTTACTGAACAATAAAATTTTTGGCTATATATATATATATATATATAGCAATTACGTCAAATGTGATCAAGGTTTTAAAGGATTGTCAAAAATATATAACCCAGATTTGTTGAACAGCCATACGCTCCATATCACATTTCGTTTGTCTTTAAATAAGTCAGTCAGTATAGTGACTGGCTACGGACTGGGCGACCGGGGTTCGATCCCCGACGGGGGCAGAGGATTTTTCCTCTAGCCTCTGCGTCCAGACCGGCTCTGGGGCCCACCCAGCCTCCTCTACAATGGGTACCGGGGTCCTTTCCCGGGGGTAAAGCCGGCCGGGGCGTGATGCTGACCACTCACCCCCATCTAGTGCCGAGGTCAAGAATGAGTAGGAGCTATACCTTCACTCCCCCCAAGCGCCTACACGGCGTATAGTGGGACAGCTTTACTTTTTTACTACACTGATCGATATGAATTATATAACAAGCTACACAAAATGTCCACAAGAAACGAAACTTGAAACACGGTATTAGAATCGCACAACACTCGACCTTGTGGTACGTGAAGGGTGAAAGGTAGGACGCCTTACGTGTGACTAGAACCGCCCTCTGGCTTCAGGCAAATGAAACTTGACGAACCACACCTTGGTACGTAATTTTACCAAAGGTAGATATTGCATCCATCCTTCAGTTTGAATTCTGATTCCCTGTTGTCAACAACACTTAAAGTGAATCGATCCACATCCACCTATTGCAGAGTTCGATTAAAACAAGAAACCGTAATGTTGTTAGCACTGTCATTGCAGATTTTGCGTAACACCACGAAGTTTTCAGATTGAAATTAGTAAATACTTGCCCATACTTTTTTGTGTTTTATTATAATTTTAAATGTTTAATGATTATATAATATTTAATTAAAATAATACTACGGTATTGCTTTCGTCATTTAGAAAATAATAATGTTGGTCAAATATAATTTTGGTTTTGGCACAGAATTAAAGAACAAGTAACAAAATTACGAGACTATTTTAAATTCAAAATGGTTTATATTTTTAGTAAAAGACTTGGAATATCGTACGGTTCAAATCTGAGAGTAGATGTTCCAGATGAAAACAAATTCGACACTGGGAACGTTAAAATAAAAATTTCATGTCTGTCATTCATAAGACCTAGATTTAAATTTTGTATTTTTAAATGTAATATAATGTTTTTAGTAATTCTGTACAGGATCTGTATACAGTTTGTATCTCCAACCAATTTTTGTATTTTTAATCTCATTTGACTCCAATACCGGACTAAGAGAAAAGAACATAATGCCATTATGATTGGAGAATCTGATGGTATAAACTGTGATAGTGTTTATTTTAGACGAATATGAAATTTTGCGTTACACTTCAAAAACCATCGTAAATTGAATTTAAAAAATACGTGATGGTTTCAAGTTTTGTATTATTGATTTTAAGACTTAGGTGCATTTTTGCTCGAGAATTTATCTTAGTCTGTATTTGATATTGCATTTAGAATCATACGGAATCCATAAATACAAAATAAAGATTTATCGGTTGTTGTGTTACATATAGTTACCACTGGACTTTAAAGGGTTAATTTATCAAAATTTGAAAGAAGGTTTACTTTCAAAAGAAGACCAAGTAGGACTGTCATTGTTTGTTTTACCACGTAGTGATCTGACACACTTCATGCTAAAATACGGTTCGTGTATGCGCCATTAGACACACCGTGTAAGAAGAAACAGACAACTGGTTGGTTTCTACGCGTGGTACAAAGACGCCTATTCCGGTTTCATTATTCTTGCACGACATTAACAAATGGGTCTTGAGGGCCCCGTATCTGTAATTTGCCGCTGGTGGACATTGCAATCATGTGCACAGATTAACAGCGCTTCAGCAACGAGATAAGTAGGGCACAGGATATGAATGAAAGTACAGACGATAATTAAGGGGATATTTTACCCATCATGTAGCATGTGGATATGTAAAATATCCCGCCCTCTCCAAGTTAATTATAATAATACCCACTGGATCTTATTAAGAAAGAGAAGTAGATTGTTTACGTATTTATTGGGGCATGCAACAGACCGCCATGCTAAGGTCGAAGGCCTTGTAGTACGAACCAGGTCTTTGGCGTACGAGAGACATCTCAGAACTCTAGACGGTGAGTTGAAAGGTGGATTACGTTTTGTGTTAATCTGGTTCGAACGGTAGTTGGAGCTATCAGCTTATCACGTTAAGTGCCTCAGAACATACAGCCATATTAGTTGCCCGTATGCCGATCTACCATTTCGTGAAAGACTTACGGGAGACTGAAGTATAACGCCACGCACTTTTAACATCGTCGCTAGATAAAGTTCGTGCTCCGGCATATTTATTTCCGGAGAAAGAACATTTAGTAGGCTATTCAGTGGAGGCTGAGTAGGATTCGGTGCTGATCTGGACTCAGTCGATAAAATAAAAAATATCTGCCTCAGTTGGGATTCAAACCCCGATTGCTTTGAACGTAGGAGGTCACTGTACTGGCTGAGATATATCGGTTCTGATTAAGTAAATGAAATAGAGGATTGAAAGGGAATGAAAGGGTTGGAGGGATTCTGACGGGAGTCGAATCTCGCTAGAATTTGAGATCTTCGTGCTGAACCACACTGATGTAACTAGGATGTATATTACATAGGCCCGTTTCTTTTAATAGATAACTTTTATGGTCACTGAATAACTTGAATTAATACAGCGCATATTGTGACAATGAGTGATAGGTACTATATAACCACAGTTAATTTCCAATATTCACGTAAGTTAATGTTATAAATAGCACAAAACCGTATAATTTAATCCATAAATCTTTGTCATAAAATCATTTTTATGGTAATACAGTATTTCATTGCGTATTGAGTGGAAAATAGTTCAGTATGCATACTTTTATGAGACGTTAATTCATGTTGGTATTCAAAACACTTTGAAGTCATGAGTTGAGTAATAATTGTTACGTATTTAGCTGATTGGATCCCAAAAATCTTACGTGTTTTTGGAGAGGCGCTGGCGACATGTTGATTTTAAAATATATTGAATACCACAGAAGATCAGATAGTCATTCTGTAGGCTTGCGTTTACTTTATTGTCAACTGAGAGTGGAATTTTATGCACCTAAAATTTAACTCCATGAGGCATAGCCGTTCCTTAGAAGCTGATAGTCGCTCAGTAAGTAGATTTTCCTGCCTTCTATATAACCCAAAGCTCCATCACCTTGTTCAAAACATCTCGTCATTGGCTGCAGTCATTAACCTATTTAATCCAATCCTCAGCTTCACACCCTAATTCTTTAACATTCGTTTTAATATTATCCTGTCTAAGCTTAGGTTTTCGAAGTTGTTTCTTCATATATTTTGACTATAATTTTTAAGTTTGTATATAGTCATTTTGCATGTTACATGCCTCGCCCAAATTATATTTCTTAATTTGATTATTCTAATGTTTGGCTAGTTTCTTAGTCCATTAGAACGCATACTAAAACTTATTCCACAAAATCTACCCATCTTTTAAAACTGTCTTTCAAATACTCGATCAATATCACACGTTTTGACATTGCTTGGACAGGTGGCGCGCTGTATCGTGCCATGTGATGATCTGGCTAATTTTCAATATTTCAGCTCATTAATTGAGGACAATGCAAGCAGAAGGTACCTGCGTTATTATCCTATAAATATTTTATATTTATAATTCTATACTGGCATATAAATTTACCGTGTTCAAGCCTTTGGGAAAACATTTGTATGCTTCAAGGACATATTTACCTTGATGAAAATTTTTAATTTAAAATGCTGTTATTTCTACACTAATCATGCTGTTCGTGTTGCAGGCAGAATAGAGAGTTTATCTTTCTTCAGCTGACTAATCGTTTGGTAAAAAATTATAAAGAAATTATTATTTTAAGATCACTGATAACTATCCAGTTGTACATATTGTAAGTTAACTCTGCAGTCATCCACGGATCGCACACACACGTTTATTTGGGGGTCTCACATGTCACATGCGCAAACAAACTTACCTTTTCGGCCTCGTCTCGTTGGTCCTCCACCTCCATCGACTTCTAGGCCAGGAATTAGGACGACGCAGACTAGCAGAATCAAGTACCGTTGTAACAACTCCATACTGTCTCTGAAACTAACAGCTACTGTGGAAATCCGATAGTTGTCTCGCTGACCCACTGCTGGGACTGTCAGCGGCTTCCCTGTGGACGTCGTCGTTAGAGCACTTGCTGTCTGTCAGACTCGACTGACGACGGCTGCCTGTATCCTCAACCACAACTGGTACCGTAATCACAAGCGGAGCACCTGCAAGGCAGTCTATATTTTCACTTCTCCACATCAACTGTCCCGCTTACTTTACCACTATTAACTCTCCCTTGCTGTTTTGTGCCCGTACTCACTTCAAAACTCTCTCCTTCTCTCCATTGCTTTACTGTCTTCTTACTTCTATTCCGAGCCACTTATACTACACAATGCATTTCTTACGTACCCCCACTACTTCTAATAGTAACTGCATAGTGCAGGATGCCTATTGGCTGCTGACGTAAATCTATATCCTGTCAAACGCATAATCTGCTTTCTGTAATGTAAATTAATTCTATTTGCTTTAGCGTGGTTCAGGTGTTTTTTTTTTATGAAACAGCTGGTACCTTGTAACTCGTTAAGAACTTAACGTTTTCTTTCTGTTATAGAATGCGAATTTTAGAAGTTGATGTGAAGGGGATATTGACTTATTTGGTAAATTTTTACTATTTTAGAACGGTTGAAATTAAATTTTTATACATGCCTAGTTTCACAGAAAGACATCTGGACCATTATATAAGTATTTTTATTTATATTCGTTTCATGTAATATTTACTTTTTAATTTGCCCTAAATCACTATTTTATTGCAGAAAATCAAGAAGTTACAGTACCTAAGTAGGATTTGAGGTTGAGGGAGATTGATTTCGTCCTGGGTTATAGTGCCAGGTAGCCTGGTATAAGTTTACAGACGTTTCAAACGTAGTTTCTGCCTCCATCATCAAGGTTCTACACGGCGCTACAACCCAGAAGACAGCCATCTTAGTATTGCATTCAGAAGTGGCAAAATAATTAACTTTTTTACCTTGTTCCCTCGGGAATTTAAGATGATTCTGATGGAAATATTTCGATGTATGCTTATCAATGTTCAATACGAGTACATGCTGTTTAAAAAACAGACCATACAAAATCTGCTACTTCAGAGTGAATAGAGGTGTGAGATTCAATAAAATCAGACTTATAGTAATTAAGAATGTGGGCTGGTTTGGAAAATGATCTGGTGATAAACGTACATAAAGGTCGGGGTATTTCTCGACCACATTGGCTACTGTCAGTTTTCAAGTCGGCCTGCCATGTTCCGTGGAGGAAGTTACTGGTCTACGCTACTAGGTCACTTGAGTCGCTTTCTTTCTCAACCATTGACAGTGTTTAGCTCTCTCTTTCCGGCAGACATGTTCGTGTTTCTTCTCTGACCCTCCCCTCCACTGTAACTGCTGCTCATCGAGATGAGTGGAGTCCGGTCGGGTCATACAGCGTTCACCCTAGTTATAACGGATCTGTGAAGGTCGCTTGTACTGCAGCAGGTACTGTTCACACAGCGGGGCGACCTTAGACTACGCTTACTGTCGCTAACCGGTTGACTTAAATTGCAGTATTTTTATCAATGACACTGATCTTGCCCACTCAGGGCTAATTTTAGATTTCAAACTAAATATCTAAACATTTACGAATTTCTGGGTTTGTAAGCTAGACATATCCAGGGTGAATCTAATCGGTTTTCACAATTCTGAAAGTAGCTGAAGTTCCCGGAAAGAACAGACCTGTCATAGTCGTCTAAATTTGCCACCTGTTTAAAGAATCACAAAAAATAAAATTAGCTGGAATTAGATTATAAATTATGTTTGATACACACATCCAGAGGAGAATTTTTGGATCTAAACTAAAGGAAGTCACAGTAAAATGCTAAAAGTTAAAAATGAAGAGTTTTATAAATTATATTATCCACCAAATATTATTATGATAACAAATTAAAAGGAGGATGGCATTGGCAGGAGAACGTATTGGTGGATTGACAATTACACAAAAGAATTTTAGTCGGATATCCTGAAGGGAAGGAAGGGACGTCTTAGAGACCTAAATGCAAATGTAGACATGGTAAGGACCTTCGGATTCCCTGAAAGGTTAACAGGATAATACCTTCAAACAGGCCACGATCTCTGCTTGCTAAATTAGCATTCATGATTATTTACCATAAACACACGCAGTTTAAGCAGTGTTGTTAAATAAATTAATGTTGTCGGATGTGAAGTAATCCTAAAAACAACAATCTCAAACATTTCTTAAAGCGATTCTTCAACAGGATAAGCAAGAGACGGCCATGAGACAATGTTGCCGGCGGAAGGTTAGGTTAGACAATGTTGATTCTCATTTTCCTATTTGGTGTTGTCCATGCGATTTCCTCTCGTGACAACCATGAAGTAAAAGTGATGGAGAAGGAGACCGTTTTGGAACTGAAGGTTGGCGCACAGAGGCAGTCGTAAGAGAAGGAAAGGCGCTCTAGGTGGTAAAAAAACTCGTGGCTTGCCCCACCCTCACCCCTTCAAATACTTTTGCAATATAAACTGTCTGTGATTACAAGTCGAATTCACGAAATAACAAAAATGTCACCTTTTGACTATTTCTGAGTTATTTTATGTGTCACTTACGGATTGGTTATTACACAATGATAAAACATGATTGTGAGAATAATAAGGGAAGAATTACGAAGGTCACATTGCTGACAACGAACCATTTCGGCATTTTGAAGAGACTGAGGATAATCATGAAAGTTTGTCAGGTTAGCTTACACTGAAGATTCCTGTCTTCTGGGTTGTTGCGCTGTGTAGTCTGGTCGATGTTTACCAACGTTTCGGAGGTCATACTGCCTCCGTCATCAGGGCGATGAGTATGAAGATCTCTGTCTTCTGGGTTATTGCGCTGTGTAGTCTGGTAGATGTTAACCGACGTTTCAGAGGTCGTACTGCCTCCGTCATCAGGGCGATTCATCGCGTTTCGGCCATATTAGCTAGCACCGCAATATGGCGTCCAAGTCAGGAAAGGTTGTGTTATGTTATCTGTTGTGACAGGGCAGGGACAGTTTGGGCGTAACTGCCAAAGGGGATAAATCAAATAAAGCGTCTACGTTTGGTTTTTACAAGAACGCAGTTGCTTTTGTTAAGGAAAAAAAAAATCCGTACCGATCGGTGACTCGCACTAGTAGGCGCCTCAGAACAATTGTTGTGCACGTGTTTCGGAAGCGCTTGCATCTCAGTGCATGTCGGTGACAGATTCTTCAGGAACTAAAATTCACAAAGTGAAATGGCATGACTTACGATGATGTCTTCTGCGATGTTGCGCCTTGTCTGATTTGTTTACCGATATTTACTACCTCTATCAGCTATCAACAACATCCCACATCTTCGTAATCACCGCCGTCAGAACCTGGTGTCTTTCTGGAAAAACTTTTGTCCGGAGTTCTCGGACAAAATGCCTTATGATTAACAGACTGTTCTTCAGGGTAATGTCTCTATCGGATCCTTTTGTTATTTCGACAGGTAAAAATCCAGGTTATCGTAAGATTATTTTTCGATTTGATCTCATGAAGAAATTATGAAACTGATGATGAGCTATATCAACTTGTTAAAGGTATAAAATGAAACATTAGTTTTCCGCTATTTTCACCTAACCTAACCTGAGCTGTGCTGACGTTTTGGGGGAGTTATATGCGGAGGAAGGACCCAGTAGGAATTTAATGTTTACATGTTACTTTAAATATGCTCCTGCGACAGCTTGTATCTGACATAATTTTTGCTTGAAATAATACATTTTATGGTAGTGTTTTGAAGTCGATTTTTATTTAGACCTTTCGGGTTAAAGAAAATAAATAATCTTTGTAACAAATTAACGAAAAATTATCTCTGACCGGATATGGGTCGCGGTCCGCCAGTTAAGATGACGCTGACCTAAGTCTAAGAAAATTTTTATACAATTAAGAACACAGTATGGGTGGAATAAAGAAAGTTTAATAGAAATCAGTTTCTTATAGCGTGCGATACAATGTATTGAAAGTTTATGAATTCCCCTTCTTCAAACGTTACGGTCCCATTTTACAAGTAAGTCCGATAAGTTACGTGACACGGAACTTCGTTTTCATCGGCCGCGACATATTGGAATGTGTCGATATTTAATGAAGAGAAGGGAACTGATGTTTCCGCCATTCACAATTCTCATACATACAAAGCACGCGACTGTGTTCGAACCAGCGGGCCTTTGGTGAGAGGCAGTAAACTGCATTAAACTTTTCCCTTCTTTGATATTCAATGAAGCAGGCAAAGAAAATATTATTTTTAAATTTAAAATCATAAATATATTCCTTTTGTGTTTAAAAAAATTTGACGTAGCTGACAAGTCTTACATTACGTGTTAAATGAATACTCAAACCTCTAACGACTGTCACTGATCAGCTTAGTCGTGTACTTGCGCTCGCCTGCCATGACTGTTACGTTAACGAGAATCGTGAATTACAGAATGAAAGGATTACGTAATTAATTTAGCCCATATAAAGAGATTAATTATCTACAGTTCGATCACATTTCCTCTCTCATAAGATATGGAGATCTGGGGATCGATTCCCGGCAATGGCAGAGGCTTTTCTTTACTCCGTCATCTATTTGCCATTAAATAACAAAAGCCTATATCATGCAGTACCTACAGAATAATATTAAAAAGATATTTTTCAAAATGTTTGCTTTGGGGGGCGGATTAATTTACTTCTTTGCCAGCTGAGCAACTGACAGTGTAACGTGTTCGTAGTGTTAGGCCTAATTGTTCATTTAGTTATATCAGTTACTTTCTTCTTGTCGTTGTCAGTGACTGTTGATAAAGCTTTAAAGCACGTGGCTACTTTCCACCAACAGTTAGAGATTCCTTTTCACGTTTGCTATAGCGGGCATTTCAGTTGATGATGTGTGTCCTGCATGATGACTTTTCGTCAAAGACTGAACCCATCTGAAGATGCCTGTGCTCCTGTACTCTGGTAGAAGTATTCATTGCCTTGATGATGGAGGCACGAAGAAGCTGAGAAACATCGGTAGACGTTTACCAGAGCACACGGCACTACAACCCAGGAGACCGTCGTAAAAACCTCAAATCCTACATATTAATGCTAGTCTATAACTATTAAATGTAAAGAAACTTCGTGATGTAGAACGGAAACAGCAAAGATGAGCGAAGACTGATGTAGAACGGAAACAGCAAAGATGAGCGAAGACTGATGTAGAACGGAAACAGCAAAGATGAGCGAAGACTGATGTAGAACGGAAACAGCAAAGATGAGCGAAGACTTTTCCGAGTTTCCACATCACCGAACTTTCCAGTTGCTACGTTAGCA